AAAATCAAAAAGTTGTGAGAAGTGAAACATTTTATGACTTTTTCTATGAATTTCCCTTCCATTTTTGGCATTTATAGTGAATTATCTTTGGTGTTTGCTCTCCCAGATTTAATTATAATTTTTTTATGCTTTCTAAGAAAATCTTAAGATTCCAAAAGTGTCAGCAAATAAAAATGTTTAAAAATAATCAGATTTAAGTAGTTACAGTACTATCGTAGTATTTATCAAGAAGTAAATGTGTAGATAAAAGAATCCTATTATGTGTTCTAAGAAATTAATTCGAAATAATACTATTTAAACCTTTTTTGCGAAGCAAGTAAGTGTCTTCTTGTTATACTTTTAAAAATCTTTAAAAAAACTACAAAAATAATAACACTATATATGTTTTGTTCTGTAAAACAATATGATAATTAGGAACTCATAAGTGTGTAGGGCGAGGACTTATGCTCCAATAAGGAGTTAAAGGAAAGAAATGCGTATTTACTGTATTCAACTATATGCCAATAGATTTCGCTTTTAGATAAGAATATTAGTTTACCTTATCGTATGTTAATTACCAGAAGATACCCTTTAAAAACTGCAGTATATAGAAATAAAATAATGTGCAGACTTTTTTCTGTTATGGTCTAAAACACACTTTGTATAGCAATGCTTTGTGGATATAGAATAAAACAACACAAGAGACGCTTTTGCTTGACATACATATACTTCTCCACTGTGATGAGCCTGGGTAGATCCCACCAGAAATGTGGAAACTTATAGAGGACTGGACAAATGACTTATGAATATTTATTGATATTTTAGCCTCTCGGTTAAGCCTCTCGGTAGCCTCTCGTACGAAGATTTGACAGTACTTTTAGTTATATTTCTTTTAGTTACATTTATAAACACTGGTATCTCTTATTTCTATATTTTTTAATTTGATTATTTTTATCAGTGTTGCGAGTGAGAGTAAATTATGCCATTAGACAAATTATAGTGGTTTCTTTGGTGACTAGCCTTCAGCGTGCCTGGATATTGTCATTAGACAATATACCGTATGTATGGGTCGATAACAATGTATGAAGTTTGGACACACAAATAGTCAAATTCAGATCTGCATTTAACAAAATTATTAGAAATTAGAGTTAAATACCTTTCAATTTGAAGTAAAATTTGATTTTTCTAGTAAATTATAAATAAGTCTTCATACATTTTTCTAATTTGATAGATATACTTGTATATACTATACATCGTTGGGACTCAGTTACTTAAAAACTAACCTTTAATGTCGTCAAGTTAACCTTTTAGTTAAAGGCTGAATGATGCCGATTTTAACAGAATTAACGACAAATTTTGATTGCATTAACAAAAAACTAAGCACTCCATCTAGCATTAAGTATTAAATGCTAATGAAATGTATAGGAAACTAGTAAACTAGCTTTAATCTTTTACGTCCTATTTACCTATACAGTTGTAGTCAGCAAAAATAAATAATTCATATCTTTTAACTTTAATTAATTAAACTAATTAACTAATTAATTAAACTAATTAACTTTTGCAAATATATTTCTGGGAACGAAAAGTTTATTTGTGAAGTTAATCGATTCTTTATACAAATATAATTCGTGTCTTAATTACTTCTAATATTTTTTCTTTCAGATTTAAAAAAGTTCGCAGAATTATTTTTCAGGTAAGAATTTATAATATGTAATGTCTATCTATATACTTTTTCTGTGTGCTTATAACTACACCTTCTGGAGCTTTGTGGTATTTATTATTCCATATTTATTTTTAAATGTAAAATATGAAAAAAGAAAAAATTCATTTGTCCAAATGCGATTTTTGAACAAGAAATTTAAATTAAGAATGCAACTTAAATGTTATTGACATTATGTCTAAAAATTCATACTTCTGCGCCTTATCACTAAATAAGTACTTCAGTAAAATATTCTTATTATCAATCAAATCGGAGTAATAAAAATTTCTGAAGCAGTCCGCTTAATCAAAATTTTCTTAGTAAAAATACTAAATTATTACTGAAATTAAAAAAATATACATAAAATTTAAATATATATTTGGCAATTATTGAATGAATGAAACAGCAAAAATTGACAAGTTCAAGATATAATTAAACACTAATAAATCATAATTATATTGAATTAGTCAGTGCCTTGAACAACCATTATCAGCTTATCTAAATCTTAATCAAAATTTCACTGTTAATAAATTATATTTGGCGAGAAGGTGAAAATTATTTATATAATATATGGTATGTACATAGCAATAATGTATATTAAGAGAAATAAATTAAAATATTTTTTTTAATTTAATTTATTAGATGCTATGTGTTTTAGTGAAAATAAATCTGTATACTATTTCTTTGTGCTCAAAATTCCAGCTTCTGGAGCTTTGCCACTGTCACAGCCTCATAACCATATGATGGTTACAAAGCCATGCCATCAGTATATTGCTCAATGACAATACAATATTATATTATATTGTATTTAAATATCATATCTTTCTGGTACGTTAAACATTTCTTCAGTCTGCGTGGTCGGTTTTAATTGTCAGTTAAACTTCTTCATTGTGACTTATTTGATTTCTTTGTAATGAAAGCATTTAAAAGTCGAGCTTCACATTTTAATTCCATACAACTATAATTGCTTTAGTATCACCCATAGATGACGCGTTTATTATGAAGTGATTGTGTTAATTTGTAATCTATTGACCTTAAGTAGGTTTCTGGCTTTATTTGTTTGAAGTAACTGTCATTGTTTTAAAGTCACAATGTACATGTTCCATCACTTGTTTAATAGGATACTAATTAAGTCAATATTTCGTTGAGTGCCATCCGCACATTATGCATAAATTATCTATATAATATGTAATATATATATGTATATGTATTTATTGCGCAAACCGAAATAAAAAACGCATTTTAGAAATTTTGAATTTTGGCGGACATTTACAGATCCACAAATTAACATTTCTGCTATTTAAAGCCATTTCAACTGTCTGAAGTTTTTCATAAAATTTAAATTCAGTGACAAGTCACGTTTTGCCACAAATAAAATTCACTAAATTACGAATAAACACGTTTAGGTGAGTGAAATTTTATATTTCGCATAATAAACAAAAAATGCATTAAAGTAATGGAAATGTTGCGCCTTTAGCAGAACTGCACCAATTATGGGGAAGTCATCAATAAGGGCGACTGTCAGATAAATTGCGGGAAAAATATTACGGCGAAGTTAAAATCTGCCTTGGCATTTCTAACCACTTTAAAATGTTTATTTTTTGTGTCTAAACGTTTAATATTATTTTAACCTGAGTTAAGGGGAAAAAACAAGGTCATAAATTTTAAATCCACTTAAAAATCATTGATGACGCCCCGACGGCCCGACAAAATGTGCAATAAATAATTTGCTTAAGTGAAGCAGATATAAAAGCAAATGCATCAAAATAGAACCAAAAAACTATATAGAGGAAGTTTAGGTACTGCAGTGGGCGCATTGCCAAAAGTCGAAACAATTCCTAATTTGCATGAGTTGCAATTTTGTGGCATTTAAGTACCATTAACTCCTTTTCAGTAGCCTCAGCATATACACAAATTGTTTCTCAAAACAGTCTTGAGACAAAATATTTTTTGTAGTGCATTTTTTTTCCTAATTGTAGATATATCCAGTAGTAAAAATTTGAATTTGTCTTAAAAAAATACCAAAATTATTGCAATTTTTATGTTAATTTACATACCAAGACATTTTTCTGTAAATTTAGAATAATATTACATTGGAATTTTCAAATAACCCAAATATTTAAGAAACATATTTTGGCTGTAATTTCCTACACCACGTTACTAATATTTTAAAAAGCTGTATATTATATACATTGTTAAACATAAAATTGAATTTAGATAGATATTAATTTCAATTAATTTTTATTATTTAAGCGACAGCAGACACTATTTACAAGAGTTTCGTTAGGGCATGTTAAGCCTAACTTTTTACATTTATATAGTTTAGAGAATCGAGGTATTATTAATACTATTAATTAATCACAATTATTATAAACACTATTTTGATATTATTTTCTATATTTTTAATATCCCTTTAAATTGCTAAGTTAGAAGTTCTTGATTTGACTATTAAAATGTTCCTCAAGAAATAATAGCACGAAACTGTCAGGAGTCACTACAATCCATAAACATTTTTTCTTCAATTTGCCACATCATTTTGAAACCGGTCACGTGGTACTGCCAGTTTTGGACAACAGCAACGTTCGTTTAGAAACAGTTCACTTTAACCTAATAGAATCTTATTTGCTGCAACTTAGCTTAGCGCACCAATATGTGGATGATATCCTCTTTATCTCCTGAACTCGATCAATCAGCTACTGACAACTGCAACATCCGTGTAAAGACAGTTCACAACCTTATAGAATCTTATTTGTTGAGGCGTAGCTCAGTGTGCCAATATGTGGATGAACGCGATCAATCGGCTACTAATATGTCATTTGAACAACTGCAATTTCGTGTAGAGACAGTTCACTTTTACGTAATAGAATCTCAGTGCGCCAATATATGGATGATATCTTCCTTTTCTCCTATCTTGTAGAGTGCAGTTGCTTTTGCTTGGTGTGATACCTAACTGCGATCAATCAGCCACTGATATGCCATTTGGACAACTGGAACGTTCACTTTAACCATATTTGTTGAAGCGTAGCTCACGCTGGCAATATGTGTATGATATCATTTTCTCCTATTTTATAGAGTGCATCTGCTTTTGTTTGGTGTAATACCTTAACGCGATCAATGAGCTACTGATATCCCATGAGAAATTCATAGTTTCGCCCATTATATTGATGGAAGTCTGTATGTGACTGTGAATTACACCTGAAAAAATGGAAATAATAAATTATTTGTTTAATCTTTATTTTTCTTGTCTTAGTCTTAATGTAATAGAGTTAAAATTCTCTAAAAATTTAATTTAAAATAGTTTTATAATTTTCGGACCTAACGGCCTAAATCTGTTATTTGAATTCACCAACGCAACAGATTTATGAATATTATTAAGTTTCCTTATAATTACCTTCATATGTCAATCTCGTAATATTGACAAAATCTTTAAATTACTTCGCAAGCCCAAATCTGGTTATCCGGTGACAGTGACAAAGCTCCAGAAGCTGGAGATTTGAGCACAAAGAAAAAGTATGTAGATTGATCCATAGGTGGCGTGAAATTCTAACGGCTTTTAAAAAATAAAAAATTAAATTAAAAAAAACAGTCAAAATTAAAGTTACTCAATTTATTTACAACATTATAATATGGCGGTTTCTCCGGCCTTGGTTTATAAAGTACAAGTACAGCTAAAGGAATTGTTAAATATTGTGACAGACAATTATTATATATCTCGCAGTTAGAGTTCTCATGCTGGCTATCTACCCAAAAGGGGCAAATGTTTGCATGAATTCAGTTTCGACCATATAAGCATATCCTACGAAAAGTATATAGAAAGCAACGTGAAAAAGACCCATAATACGTCGCGCGTAATAGTTGGTACTCAGCGTCCATGTCAGTAAGCAGGAAAGCGTTACAATAAGAAACACAAAACTGTTTTCACCTAAATACCCAGTTCTGGCCTGGTTGAAATATTTTTTGATGTATAAGAAAAAAAATTATTCATATTTTTCTAATTACCGGTGTAAAACCTCTTTCACCATTTGTGCATCTATATAGATAAACTGTACCCACCCCCAAAAGAGTATCTTAAATGAAAGAAAAAAACAATTTTTAATTAAAACATAATTTATATGTAGGAAATAATAGTGCATAGTTTTACTGAAAAATGGAGCTCCAAGACACGCTGCAAATCCCATTTTTTGGTAACCTCCAAATGCAAATGTTAAGTTCGATACTAAATCGCCAACACCATTACCCCAAGCCAATATAGTACAATATAAAAAGGCTTTGCTTTTGCCAAGTATAAGCCCGAATATGTGTAGTACTTGAACCACTTCGCAAGCGCATGTATATATGATGAACATTGATCCATAGGTGGTGAGTAATGCGAACATCTTTTGAAATATAAGTAAAATAAAAATTGAAGATTGCGTATAATTTATTTAGATTATTTACGACATGATATTTTGGTGGCCTGTATGTTTTCGTTCTCAAAAATAAATAAAAGGCTGCAGGCGGTATAAGCAATACCATCAGGCGCACGTAGTTTATTATTAGATAAAACTTATTTCGGACTTAAAATAAATAAACATAAATTTATGTAATTACAAAAATTATTAAAAGTCTTACAAAGGCAACAAAGGCTACCAAGCGGCATATATGCAACTTGCAGACAGTTTAATAGTTTTGACCAGCCATGAGCATCCAACTCGTAATCACATATAGGCATAAACAGTAGCAACATTAACCTTATGGGAATTTTTAATATCAAGGTACTTCTCTGAAATTTAGTACCATTTTCCCATTCACCTTCTTCAAAGGGATTTATGGAATTTAAGAATTGTGCAATCAGCTTGTTATTTGATCCGACATCCTGTATATATGATGAAACACGCCGCTCCTCTGTACTAATTACGCTAGTTTTGGAAACTCTAGATAAAAGCTGCATATCTGCTTCTGCTCGAAGTATATTAATTTCTGCTCGAATTTCTTCTTTCGTACGTTCTATTAAAATTATATAGTAACTGATATAATGAGAACGCAAGCAATATTGCAAATGTTCGCACGAAATACTTACCAGGCAGAAACGGTCTTCTTCTTAGAATTTTTTCTAATCCTACAAAATAAATACTGGTTGATTATTGCTCATATCATATTTCCACTGTAAATCAACATTGTAGATTAAATTTACTTACGTGAGATTCCTCTTTTAAGTAGGTACTGATCAAAAAGAATAATAGTTAAGTATGTAAAATAAATTATTAACATTCCTGCAACAAACAGTTCGAAATGTGAAAAAAAAATATTTCTCGTATAAATCAGACTTACTAGTACTTTCTTTTGTAGTAACTTTGCCATCTGAAATTATAGCGTACTCAATATATAAGAACGCTAATGTGAGGAAGGACACATCCCGAAGAATATTATAACCTTGCATTTGAAATGGTGCAAAAACACATATAAGTCCTGCAACAAAGTTGACAACATATATTGCACCGCCAGTCATATCGGAGAATATTGCACGTGAAAAATCGCGTACTGAGCTTAAAGTAGAAAACAAGTCTGGTGATCCATTACCAAAAGCCACTAGGGTGACACCGGCTAAATGTTCACTCATACCGAATACCGTGGCTATTACTTTGAGTGCTGGGCAAAAGCTATTAGAGATAGAAATCTTCTTATAATTGCAGTTAATGTGTATGATTAGCTTACTCACAACCTGTCAGCTGTAATATTTAATATAAAAAATATTACTATACATGTTAGAAATACAGTGCTCATAGCAAGAAATTCTTGAAACGGTGACAATGGTTCAAGAATACAGTAATATAGATTCACGTAATCTACAAATGAGCCAACACTAGTGCATTCCGCAGTTAATTTCACATAATTACAACGTCCAGGATATTCGACCCATCGTACATTTGAACAGGCTGGCTGTGGAATAAAAGCAACTAATAATGTTTTTAGTTTGGTAAATGAATATATTATGTCCGTACTTACGTAAGCCCCCATATCCATATAGGGAATTATTAATTCTTCTGTCAAAGCCATTTTGTTTTATTTATTCTGCAAATAATTTTGATTCAAAAAATAAGAAACATTTTTTCCAAAATAAAATTCTAATATTATTTCTATAATGTCAAATTATATGTCTGTGTTTGCTTGAATTTATTTATTTTATTAGAAATATTAATGTCAAATTATATGTCTGTGTTTGCTTGAATTTATTTCTTTTATTAGAAATATATATCTCATACCTTGTTCAAGTTTTCTTTGTTTGTATTTAGCAGCCATAAAATTGCGTAGTTAATTTTAGATTATCCAGATCTCAGTTGTTTCCCTTCAATTCTATTTTCAAAATTTAAATTTATCTGAAGGGTGTTAGCAGATTATATATAGAAATTGATTGCGGAGACGCATTTATTTTTTTTTAAAATTACCCAGTTAATTAAATGGTCTCAGCATATTCCAATTTATCTGAAGCCCATAAACTGAAGGGTGTTGGCAGAGTATATATAGAAATTGATTACCATACACTATTATTTATATTTCCCGTACCATTGCAAAGATGCATGATTTTTTTTTCTTTTTGTTACTAGAAATAAAGAATGCATTATATATTTTAATTTATCGTAAAAAAAAATATCCAAAATTATTACAATTTTTATGTTGATTTACTAACCGAGAAATTTTTCTGTACATTTGAAATCGCACTACTGTTGAGTATAATACATTTTTCTATACAGAACGAAAAATATTATTTTAAATATAAGAGGTTAGAGGTCCTCAGATAATTACTTACTTTTAGTTTCTTAAAAGATCGTACTTTGGCTCTTTCAAAAAATAACTGTCTACACAAACGAAAAAAAAATATATCTGTAGAAAAATAATAATAAATATGTATGACACAATGTTAAAAAATTAATATTTTGACTGACATTTCTTTTATCACGATACTAACTTTATAAAAAGCTATATGTATTACAGCCACTGTAATATAATCGAATATAAAAGTGGATTTAGACAGGATAGTATGGTGGCGGATCAGATGTGTTGGCCGTCCTACTTTTTAGCTCATATATCCAGTCTAACTTCCTATGTTTATTTAATGTTTAAGGTTCCAGATATGAGCCATGAACGCCATATCATCCTTGACCAGAGCACTGAAGAAATATGTATCTTTCCTATTTGTCTATTGCCAAAATTGATCATATGTCCATTTTCGTTTGGTTGGTCTTGAAAGACCAAACTTAGCATTTACTCGTCCATTTGTTGCAGGTCAATCAATACACAAAGAAATTGACTCAATAAACAACAGCACTTTGTGATAATCAAAAGGTTTATTAATTTTCGATCACATTTCGATAAGAGTCTCGTTGAAAATTAAATAAGAAAATAGCAGTAGTTCTTCATTGAAATTAAAAATTTTTACATATAAAAATTTAGTTATAATTTGACACGAAAATTTTCTTTTTAATATCAACTGTCAAAAATTTTAATGTGACATCTGATTTTAAAATCAAAAATAACTATTTATTGTAATTTGTTTAAAATTTAAGTTTAAATATTTTAAATCCCAAAATAAATAAAACGAAAATAATATAATAATATAATAATAATCACTTAATATGTATGCATTTATAAAATATTTGTTTTGTTTCACTTTGTATGAAATTTTTATTCATTCCTCAAAACTATTCGCAATAGGACAGTATTATAGTATACAACATTGTACTACTGTGAATTATTGAAGTTTATGTCAACTTGATTTTGTTGAAATAATGCCTCAAATATAATATCTGATGTACATATTTCCATAGAAATCTTTTTGATTTCAAAAATAAGTCAAAATGACAGCTAATAATATTATATTTGTTGTTGTTGTTATTGTTGTGATTTGAGTTAGTGTATTGCGCACTTTTACTCTACTGTGACTGCGGAGTTTATCCCTGCCCCACACTAAACTTTAGCTATACTAGAAACATTATCATTTATTTATTTTCTAACTGATGACGGATCGTAGATCAACATATCTTCCTGTGGGTCCTGAGGTGGACTTGTGGTTTGTTAGGGTGGGGTTGGGCAACGTATTAACTTTTGTGAATAATTTTAGGGCTCTGTCCTTGATATACTTTTTCACTGAATCGAATCTTAGATCTCTATGCATGTCTGTTGTTCTAATATACCAAGGAATCTTAATTAGTTAAAGAAATGTAAATGTAGTTAGATTTAAGTTAAAAAAATCACTTTGGTGCACTTGTCTTTTAAAATGATCTCTCACTCTATTATTCATACATTTCCCAAGTACTCGTTCTGGCTGTGTTAACATAAACTCAATTCGGACGATAATAAGTCTCAAAAAAAAATTGTGATTTAGTTTCGTGGACAAATTTTATGTCTATTCTGACATCGATAAAATTTAAAAATATTGTGTATACATTGATAATTTTATTGACAGACGCTTTGATATATAAATTACATAGTTTTGTGAGTTTGTCCCATGGCAAACATTTTTTGATATAAAAATGAAGTAGTTTTTCTACCACTAACAACTTGGAACTACAAGTATCCCTAGACTTGCGTTGCGTATCACATATTGTACTGTGATAAATATATATTTGTCTATAGAACTGTTTTCACATACTACTCATACTTTTAATGAACATGCTCTATAAAATTTAAATTTCATGTAAGTGTTACTCCTAAAGAAATATCTTCTCTTGAACTCTTACATTTACTTGTCATGCTTTATTGCAAATGGTATTGCAGCCCGATATTTGGCAAATTATAGGCGCATTCTTCAGAAATTCAATTAAGATCGTTTTGAGACTTAAAATTCTATGGAAAGACAAACTTAATGTCATTACTTGTTTTAATATAATTTATAAGAAAAGTAATACAAAACTAAGTACAAAAGAGAGAAGTCAATGCGTTTTGTACTTTCACATTTATCTCAATAAACTAATATAACAAATTTAATGAATTTTATTTATTTTCTTTAAAGTGAAAGTCATTTTCAATATTTTACTTAAAGAAATATTGCAAATATGTGCCGATGTATATATAACACTTTGTTACAGTAGGTATTACGCTTTAGCAAGTTAAAAACAATGCAAAGCAAATCATATTTTACTTCATGTCTAGTAAATCTATTGAGTGCAGATCCATGTGAATCAAATAAGTTTGCAAACACAGTTTATTGCTAATCGTTGCAGTATAAAAGATAAACTCAATAAATTTTTCTCTTACTTCATCGTTTTGATATGTTATCCTAAAACACTTTTCTTGTTCATTAATTTGATTCTAGTAAATTATTTATTTAAAAAATTGGTTCATTTCAAGTAGTTACAGTTCAGTGAACTTGTTCTTGTATCAAACATTTTTGATAGAAACTACGCTAAACTAAACTTGTATCTAAAAGGTTTTACATTTTATATAATTTTCGAATATATTGTCGTTTTTCTGAAAGAGAATTTTAAGTTTCTCCTAGTTGTTGTTGTTTTTACTATCACTCTTTTGTGATTGGGGGCTTATCCCTGCCCCACACTAGGCTTCAACTATGCAGGAATTCATATCGTTTATTTACCGTTTAATTGATGACAGACCATAGGTCAGCATATCTTTCTGTGGGTCCTGAGGTGGACTTGAGGCTTGTTAGGTCAGGGTTGGGCAGCGTATCAATTTTTTTGGTTAATTTTAGGGCTCTGTCCCTGATATATTTTTTCACTGAGTCGATTCTTAGATCTCTGTGTATATCTGTTGTTCTAATTTACCATGGAATCTTAAATAGCCTTCTTATAGCCAGGTTTTGTGCTATCTGTAATTGCTTTATGGCTGAATTTGAGACTTTACTGTATATAATACATCCGTATAGTAGTGCTGAACTGATTATTTAAGTATATAGTAACTTTCTATTTTCGAGGTTAAATCGATTATTATTAAACAGCGGCTTTAGAAAATATAGAATTTTAGAGCAGCTATTCCGTTTGCATTTCATGTGTTTACCCCAAAAAAAACACAGCAAATGTCAAAAAAATTATGCATGAAAAACCATCCTTACTACAAAAAGCAATGGTTTGCACCCGTACGTGTATCGACCACGCCGAGATGCAAATGCCAGATGTGTTCCATTATATCAAATACAGAAAAAGTGTTTAATATTTGCAAAACATTGCATCACGTAGTTCAACTGTTTTATTGACAGATATTTTGGTTTTTGCACACTAAACTTTTGACTTGAAAGTGGAAGAAACGTTAAAATACGAAAAATTTATGCAATTTTTATATGTAAATGGAAACTATTATTTGATTTTATTATACCCCAATCGTTTTTATATAGACCGGCGGCCAGTCATTTTTATTTTTCGATATCTTTAGATTAATATTTTTGTTCTATTGGAATAAAAAGATATTAAATAAGTTGTTTCACTTTTAATTGCATTTAAGGCAGGTGGTAGCACCTGTTCATTGTGCAATTAATAACATATTTTCCAAATATTTTAATTAAATTAATTTTAGATTTTGTGATACAATATGATTGTATGTAGTGTTTTTCTGAAAATATATATTTCATATTGTAAAATATAGAATATGTGAACTATCAATATATATATAGAACTTTGCTATTAATATATGAGATACATTTGTAATACATTTGATTATTGAATATTAGGAAGTTGTCCTAAAATGTATAATTTTTCAAATGAAAATGCAAACGGAATAGTTGCTCTAAAATTCTACATCTCCTTAAGCCGCTGTTTAATAATAATCACTTCAACCTCATAAATAGTAAGTTACTATATACTTAAATAATCAGTTCAGCACTACTATACGGATGAATTATATACAGTAAAGTCTCAAATTCAGCCATAAAGCAATTACAGATAGCACAAAACCTGGCTATAAGAAGGCTATTTAAGATTCCATGGTAAATTAGAACAACAGACAAACACAGAGATTTAAGGATCGACTCAGTGAAAAAGTATATCAAGGACAGAGCCCTAAAACTATTCACAAAAGTTGATACGCTGCCCAACCCCGCCTTAACAAACCCCAAGTCCACCTCAGGACCCACAGGAAGATATGCTGACCTATGGTCCGTCATCAATTAAACGATAAATAAATGATATGATTTCCTGCATAGTTAAAGCCTAGTGTGGGACAGGGATAAGCTAAATAAAAAATAAAAGTGCGCGATAGCACTAACTCAAGAAATCCAACAACAACGTGAATTTTAACGGCTTTGGTAGAAAACTAAACGATTAAAAGCTCTACTATTTCTTATTAATTAAGAAGTCTCCTTTCAATATCATTTGTTAAAAAATAAATAAATCTGAATATTATATAAAAATATAGTTCTAGATTCCGTCATCAATTAAACGATACATAAACAATATAAATTCCTGCATAATTAAAGCCTAGTGTGGGACAGGGATTAGCTAAATAAAAAATAAAAGTGCGCGATAGCACTAACTCCAACAACAACGTGAATTTTAACGGCTTTGGTAGAAAACTAAACGATTAAAAGCTCTACTATTTCTTATTAATTAAGAAGTCTTCTTTCAATA